CGGCCGCCGCCATCTTCATGAGAACGAGGCTCGCCTCCTTTTCGAGGCCGAGTACCCGGTCCCGCCAGACATGCGGGTGCCCGGGGCGTGGAGGATCAGCGCCGGCGGCGTGCCGGTGCCCCCGGTACCCACCGGCGCGGCGCGGCATGCGGAGATCGCACGCATCCGCTCGTCCCTGCCGCGTGCGGCGAGGGAGGGGCCACGGTATGTCTCCGACAGCCCGCTCTGGGAGCCTTATTTCCGCCGCCGTCACGCCGAGCAGCTCGAGGCCACCAACGGCGTCGAGCCCTCCGGCAGGCTCAACGCCGTCGGCCGGCGTCGGTGGTGGGGCGTGTCCGGGCGCACGTTGGAGGCCGTCCTCGAGTACATCGAGGGCGGCAACACGCCGCGCCTCGAGTACCCCGCTCCCCCGTCCTTCCCACGCCGCCGGGGAAGCTCCTGGACCCCGAGGCGCATGGAGACCGGGGGGTCCTCCTCGTCCGGCGGCTCCCCCTGCCTCCACCTCCGCCCCGTCAAGCCGGAGCCCCAGGGCACGCCTGTCAGCGCGCGCACCCGCAGCTCCGGCGTCCGCATCGGCGACAACGCCTCCCCCATCGGCCGCTTCGTCCTTGTCGAGCCCAAGCCGGAGCCCGGCCTCCCCGCGGAGTACGAGGAGATAGCCCGGCGTGGCTTCTCCGACGAGGACGCCCTGCGGTGGGCGCGGGACGACTACCTCCGCGACGAGATGGTCCGGCAGCGCCGGGCCCTGGAGGAGATCGCCGCCCGCAAGCGTGGGCGCGAGGACGAGCACGGCGTCGTGGTCCTCGACAGCGACGACGACGACGACGCCCCCGGACCGTCCAACCCGCCGCGCCAACCGGGGGAGGGATGCAGCAGGGACGGCGGAGGCGTCGGCGGGGGCGACGACGACGACGACGACGGCGGCGGCGGCGGTGACTACACGCGGTTCTACAGCCTCCTCGGCATGTAGAACCGCGTGGGCGGGCGGCGAGGGAGACGGCGGGGGTAGCCCGCGGTAGTTTTTCCTTTTTTTGTAAAATATGTTTAAATTTGAACGAACTCGAACGTGTTTGCGTTGTGTTTGCGCCGAATTTAAACATTTTAAAAACCCGTGGGGGGCCGCGACTGGGGGGCATCACGCCCCCAGTGCGCGGTTTAGCGCCGGTGCGCCCCCAGGGGGCGATTTTTTGCCCCTCCTGGGGGGACAACGGCTGGAGATGCCCTGACTTTCATCTAGCTTAATTGCATGAAGCAGGGCACATGCCTCCGCATGTAGGGCCTCGCCCATATGTGAAAGGCTTCCTGCCGCGGCTAGGATCACCTCTCCAGTGTGATCCCGAGCGATGCATCCCCAACCCGCGAGTCCAGTCCCCGGATCAAAAGATCCATCCAAATTGATCTTGACTACGTCGGTGGTCGGGCGGGTCCAGCTGGGTTTTGGTTTAGGATTGCTCTGACCCTGCTCTCCACAATATAGGCGCCATTCCGCAATGTGCTTTGACAACGTGAAGGCGAATTCCTGGATCGTAGCCCTCTGGTCGTTGTGGTTTGCCTTGTTTCGCTCCGTCCACCACATCCACAACAGGCAGATAGTATGTAGTTTCTCGTCCTCCGGCAAGGAAACAATAAGTTTCAGGAGTTGGCGTGGTGATTGGCATGGTAATAGCATCTGACGTGTCTGTTCTAACCCGCACGCCTTCCACATCTTCTTCACTTCCTTGCAGCGAAGGAACAGGTGGCCTCCGTCCTCCTGTAGCCGGTGGCATACCACACAGTCCGTCTCCAGTTGCACGCCAATTCGCTCCACATTCCGCAGAAGAGGATGACTGTTATGGGCCAGTCTCCACATAAAGTGATGGATCTTGCCGGGCATCGTATCTTCCAGAGCTGTTGCCACATTCTTCTGTCCTCCTCTCCCCCAGCTGAGCTTTCCCCACGCGGGCGCGGTCGTTGTCTCTGGAGCATGTCAGTATACACCCTGTATGCCGATCTTACCGAGAACAGCCCCTTGTTGTCAAATTGCCAGGCCACAAAGTCCTCATGGTGCTCAAAGATAGGGATCTTTAGGATTATTTCTGCATCCATCGCGCTGAAAGTTTGTTGCACAAGCTGCTCATCCCATGTGTGAGACTCCGGGTCAATGAGTTCGGAGACTTTTGTCAGCAGGGTAGCCCCCCGAAAGGAACGCGGGAAACGTACAGGCCCCGCCGGCAGCCACGGATCATGCCAAATGTGTATCTGCTGCCCGTCCCCCACTCTCCACACCATTCCCTCCTTGACCACTTGGACCCCTTGCAAGATACTACGCCAAACATAGCTAATTCCCGGTGTTGGCACAGCCGATAGGAGATCTCCACTAGGGTAGTACTTGGCGCGCAAGACACGGACGCAGAGGGAGTCAGGCGCTTGCAGAAGGCGCCAGACTTGACGAGCTAGCATGGCGATATTGAACGTGTGAAGATCCCTAAATCCAAGACCACCTTGCTCTTTTGGCAAGGTCATTCTCTCCCAACCCACCCAGTGGTGCCTTTGATCATCATCCTGATTTGCCCACCAGAAGCGGCATATCATAGAGCAGATGCCATCGCATAGCCCCTTCATCAAGTCAAAACAAGCCATTGCATAGGTGGGAATCGCTTGGGCCACCGTTTTAATCAGGATCTCCTTTCCCTTCTTCGACAGCAACTTGATCTTGTAACCTTGGAGCAGCTCCCAAATTCTGTCTCAGATGTATTCAAAACAAATCTGGCGTGATCTGCCCACATAGCTAGGAAGGCCCAGGTATTTTCCTATGGATCCTTCACCTCTAAGACCCAGAACATGGAGCAATGCTTGTTTCTTTTGTCCTGGTGTGTTCTTGCTGAAATGTATCGCAGACTTGTCCCTATTGATTGTTTGGCCCGACCCCCTTTCATAAACCTCCAAAATCTCGTCGACAGTGGTCATACTCTCTTCCATGGCCTCCAGAAGCAGCAGCGAATCGTCCGCAAAAAGGAGGTGAGTTATCGACGGGGCAGTAGGTGCGATCCGTATACCCCGAATGCGTCCCATCTCCTCCGCGCGGTTGATCAGTGAAGATAGCCCTTCTGCACATAATAGGAATAGGTACGGGGAGGCGGGGTCGCCCTGCCGTAAACTGCGGCCGGGAACCACCGTATCAGTACAGCCCTCATTGATTTTGAAACGGTACCGAACCGTACTCATGCACTTGCAGATCAGGGCCACAAACTCCGGTGCAAAACTCAGCTGGATCATAATTTTCTCCATGAAAGCCCACTCCACCCGGTCATACGCCTTACTCATGTCAAGTTTCAAAGCTGCATGTCAGGAATTACCACTCCCTAACTCACTGACAGGGCCCACTCACATGTCAGTGAGACATGATTCATATCAAAAGAACATCCATGTTAGTTTTGATGAACTCATGGCTACATGTGCTTGCTTTGTGATTATTATTTAATATTTATGCAACATTATTCTTGTGCAGAAAACCATAACGAGAGAGTGGTTTGTGTCAGAAATCTAGCACCCGAGGACATCATGTTGCAAGCTAGTAGGCTAAGGTGTTCTCTGGGCAGGAAAGTGGTGAAGCTGAGAACCAGACACGTTACGAAACGGCCAAGTGTCCAGGGGACATGGACGACGGAACTGAAGATGTGAATCAAAGTTCCGAGAGAGGCTGTTGCAGTGTTCCTGTTGAACTGTTTGAGATCTATGGCAAGAACTCTGTGCTGCTATTAGACCTACCTTTTGTCAGTAGTTACAGTTTCATTTTTTGTTTTTTGAGACATAATAATCTGATAATATCATGTAAACGTGGGAGATTCTTGTTAGTGGCGGATGTGATCTTAGACTATCATCTTCCTTGAACTTGCCAGGGTAGACAATTTGATCTGGGTGGCCCTGCAAGTCATGAACAGTTCTTTTTTTCAATCCATGGTGGTTAACAGAGATGCTACTATGAGGGCAATACGGCGAGGTGGCCAGACAATGTAGAGGAAGAGAAATCAGGTCCCAGTTTTGTGGGGTCTTCCTGTTGTTGGGATGGTGCTGTCCCAAGAACTGTTTCAGATGCTCTATGCTTTTAATAACGAGGAAAAGGTAAAAAGTGGTTCAGATTTCCGCCTGCTTCTTTTTGATCATTTATTACAGTTGATGTATATATATATGTATAATGCGATGTGGATATTTGATCTTGCTGTGTGCCGTGCTGGTAGTGTCAGCCTGTCAGGGTATCATTCATCAGTGGCGTCTGCCGTGCTGTCCGGTACCAGAACATCTACCTAACCTTTAGTCGTTATAACCAGATTTTGGCATCCACGGGTGTGTAAACCGTCACGCGCATCAGGAGCGGATGACTGGAGCTGCAGTTCGCGATAAGAATATCTGAACGCATAATGACCAGTAGTACCAGAAAGCTGGAGCAAGAGATAAGCAGCAGAGGACGCGGAACGCACTAAGCAGCGCCATTGGGCGAGCAGCCGCACCCGCACGCCTTCTTGAGGTCGCCGTCGGCGAGCCCGGAGCCAGCCAGCCATCCAGATCAGCACCTGCTTGACAGAGAGGGGCACAGCACAGCGTGTAGCTCAGCTGCCAGCAAAGTTTTTCTTTTTCTTTTCTGAGGGGCGATAAATAATTTTTTTGGTGATAAATAAAAATAATGTTGGATGTTCAGATGTGAACACCTCCCCTACCTGGCGTGCTTCGCTGGGTTTCAACTTTCAACAGAGGAGAGGAACATCCTGTTCCGTTCCGTACGAGCGCCGTTTCCCCCGAGTTAATATAATCAATAAATAGCCGCCAGCCCGCCGGGCCAGGCTGCCCCCACCGCGAAATAGCGGCAACCCAAAGCAAAGCAACAAACAAACCCAAGGCAGAGGAGAGCACAGGGAGGCCGCTCGCCCTTCTCTTTCCCACCCTCCGCAACCGCAAAGGTTTTCTTCTCTTCTCTTCTCTCGCCAGCCAGGGAGGAGGTTTCCCGTCCCGCCCTCGACCCCGCCATGGCGACGTCGTTCGACCGCTGGGAGAAGGACCCCTTCTTCCTCGCCGCCGAGGAGGTCCAGGAGTCTGCCGATCGGTGCGCGCGCTGCCGTTTCGCCTTTCTTTTTTCTTCTTCTTCTTCGGTTCCGGTTCTTATGGATCTCGTTTTTGTTTTTTTCCTGTTCGCGACCTCGCAGGATGGAATCGGTGTACAAGATATGGGTGCAGGAGAGGAGCGGCGGCGATTCGGCCCTCGGCGGGGAGGTCGGCGCCGTCGAGCTGCGCCGCGAGCTGCACACCGCGCTCGGCACCGCCAAGTGGCAGGTGAATTTGGCTCCTCGCTGCTACTCTCCCCTTACCTTACCGTTCGTGTCGCAGCTGTGGATTGATCCGCTCGCCTGGATCGGCGTTTTCTTTCCTTTCTTCTGCTTACAAGTCATTGTGCTGAAATACTGCTTAAGACTGCATTTATGTAGATGTGGGTGTGATTAGGATGTATCGAGTCATGAAAAATTGCCCCGAAATACTGAAGAAGTTGGTACAGGTGCCTTCAACTCAGAACCTAACTGCTTGTTTATTTGTGCTTTTAGCTTGATGAATTGGAGCGAGCAATTAGATCAAACGACGAGGTTGTCTCGGCAGGAAAGGATACGAGAGCACTGCATAGTAACTTTGTTGCGGCGATTGGCTATCGCATATTAGAAGTTGAGAACAACCTGAATGCATCCAATGTCGCGGAGGGGAGGGGCACACTGAGCTGGATTCATTTGGATGAGAGCGAGCGGGACGACCTCGCGGCTTTCCTATCTGCAACCCCTCCTCAACATCAGGATAAAGTTGTTACAATCCCGTCTGCTGGCGATATTCAGGTGGGCAGCAACCCCACAAGGGTGAGGAAAAATATCTCAGCTGACAGCTCCAATGATTCATCTGGCTCTGCAGACTTGAGTTCAGCGAGAGCAAAAGAAGATGCACATCGTGGGCACAGGAGGTCAGTCAGTGCCAGTGCTGATATTGGATCGTCGCCTATGTCATTTCCAAATGAACGGGAGGGTGCTGCTGAACAATCATCTCTTGGCCCACACAGAGCACCTTTGCTGAATATTGTTAAAGCGTGCGGATTGCCAAGTGCCTTGAAACCTAAGCCTGCAATTAAGTACAAAAAAGGAGCTGTGAGGTGGGCACATGCAGACAAACAGGATCTTGAAGCGGCAATCCCTCTCACAAATCCTCAGTTGGGTCAGGTATTGAGATCTTACTTGAATGGTGCTAACATCCATTGTTCAATACGATTCAGTTTGAAGCTTAGTTTTATATCCTTATATTGCCATTCTTTGTTGTAGGACTTAGATGGATACTCTGAAAGAAGCATCGGTTACTTAAATACTTGCGATGGGGTTACATACAATAAGAAACTCTATGGTTGGCTTGGAGCACTGCGTAAGAAACTTCAGAGATCACAATATCAAATTCGATATGGGCGGCCTGCTCAATTGATTCTGTTTGCACTTGCTGTTCTCATAATATGTAAGTTCGCTCATTTTATATGTTCTTTGTTTTGTTCTATTCCTTGCTCAAGCAACTAGAAATAAAGGCTAGAAATGTCAGTTGCAGCCTAAATGTATATATTAGGTATACTGTCCATAATCATAATTATTCTGTAACTTATCCATTGCGCCCTAAGTTGGTCTTCTATTCCACATTCCACCACACATCACAATACCAGTTTAATGTTTACTGTCTTTTAAGGTTGATTTTACGTTCAACGGAGTTTCAGGTGAATTTTGAGTAGAAAACTTGCATTTGATATTGTGATAAGTGATGACTTGATCCAATCATAATTTTCTTAGGGTCGCCACTTATTATTCAATGTTGTATACTCATACCTTACTGTTTCTTGTACTTCCTTTCCAGTTGTGTTTGTATTCAAGACAATATGGTGAGAAATTTGCATGGGCTCGTGATTGGGGTTAGAAAAGCCCCACCAGATCAGCATAAACTGCATGTGGACAGGAGTGACCATGCACATATGGGAAGGTGCGAACCATGGCAGACTGTTTCTGGTAATCCGCATTGAAACAAATGAAGAATGATCGTGGAGCAATTCACCACGCTACGTCTGTAACTCAGTGGCTTTGCCATTGGATATGCATTGGACGGTGTGTGCGCGCATGATGTATCTCAAGATATCAGTTCTCACAGTGACCAGTTGACTTGTGCTTAATGGTATGCCCTGAACTTCAAACTAGGGTCATGCTGCACTAGTGGTCATGCAGGTCAGGTGCAGCTACCAACAGAAATGCAACTGGGAGTGCCGACTGGTGATTGTGCTATCGCCTATGGGGCCTTACTTGAGACTTGAGAAGGCTTCCCTTTGGTTATTTTATTGAACCTGTGATAATTGGTTCCAGATACAAATAGAGATTTGTTCTCAAGTGCTGTAGAAGAGGCTGGAATAGTTGTACCGGGATCTGCTTGAACTGTAATAATACCTAAACAACAGAGTTAGAGGCTCGGCGATCCTGTTTGGTCTGTGGCTGAATTTATAATCTGAAGTTCAAATTTCACAGGTGCTAATAGGCTTTTGATAATTCTGCAGAGTTGCATCTTTGAGAAGTTTTACCACCCATAAAAAGCCATAAACTGGTTTGTAGCTGGCATCTCTAGCTCCTGATTATCCACGGGTGCCTCCTGTTGCTAATAAACCAGCCCTGTTGCTCTCTTGCCATATTTTTTCTTTGAAAGAGAGTTTTTTTTTTGTCAAGGTGCTGCAACCAGGAGCAGATGTCAAACCTTTTGATGTGCAGTCAAGCACCTCAAATAAATAAATAAATAGCCGGGACTCCTGCAAATTGTGCGTCTAGATTTCTTAGATATTGTTATATAATGTTGTCGTGCTATTTGGTAGACAATTGTACTCACTGAAACCCAATAGACATATTACTTGCGGAAAATTAATTTTGTATGGTCTTCTTCAACAGTTATTTTCCCAGACATGCACTACTATTCAATTTAATTTTTCAATATATTGGATTACTGGTGCTGTTTTTCCCAGCGAGTTATGTACCCTCATCTGTATATGTTGTTGTTGATAAGAACTTTCCTGTGACAAACTGACAATGGAAGATTGATGGTATACTGTCCGTCAGGCAAAATCATGAACTTGCAAACTAACTAGAGTGTGAGGTGCGACTTGCTGCGCCATTCTTTAATCATGAGTTAACTTATATTTTTATTTTGTTGCAGTTTATAACGCTGACTCAGTGTGTGTTTCACCTGGGCTGGTCTGACATTTAATATGGCTGTGTTGTTGATTATGGTTGTGTTAAACTTGTCCGTATATTCTTAGTTGGTGCAGGCCGTATGTGGTGTTCGTGGTAGAGGGGGCTATTGAGTGGGAGATGTGATGTTGTTACACCTTGCAGCGTTTGTGTCAACCGTTGGTGTTCATGTAAGAGCATCTCTAACCGATGATTAAAAGTGGTTAGAGGACTAAAAATCCACGTTTGAGGGGTTGAATCGGACCTAGCCAATCCCTTATCGGCCTTAGAGGAGTAAATTTTTGAAGCCCCGGCTTCTCTGTCCCTCGAATATACTCAAGCAGCGCCACTTATCATGATAAATTTTGGCAAACCCCTCCCCCTAGCGCCGGCCCTTCCCCCGCTCGCACCGAATCTTCATTGGTGTTGCCTTCGGCGTCCACCCACAGCCTCCGTCGCCGGCCCATTGACATCCAACTACCTTTGCCCCATACCTCAGCCACTATTGCCTTGATCCCATGCCGAAAAAACACAGAAGTTGCTTAGTTTGTTCCAAAACGAAACCGGTGGACGACGAAGATGACGTAGAACACTTGCCAAGAAGCTTTGTGGCATTGTTATGATGACAAGACCAACGATCTTTGTAGGCGACCGACGAGCTTTGTCGCCGGTCGGGAGGTCGATTTGATGCCCACCGTCTAATGTCAGTCGTTGTCGGCGTTCTGGAAACCGGGGTACCCAGACTTGCCTGCCTGCGGCCCACGGCGTGGCTTCATCGATGGCCTGGTACGACCCATCCTCGGCATCAACAACCCAAGACCCTCGCGAGGGGCCAAGCCTCGTGAGGCGGACGACGCCAAGACCTTCAGAAGAAGTGGCCTCCCTAGGCTGGCTCCTGAGGAGCGGAGATTCCTATGCAAGCCCCATCCTCGTGAGGTTCAGATGACGCAAGTCATGACGACCAAGGCCAGGCGGGCACCAGTGGGCGCAGTACAACATGATTTCTCTTTGGTGCTAAAGAGGCAAGCGCGGGCGCGGAGTACCGAGGAATCAACCAAATGTTTCCATTTCCGTGCTACAAGACCAAGACCGCCAGGACGAAGGTCATCGCCGAACCTACCACGATGTCACGACCATAAGCTAAGGGCATACTGAACAGGGGTCATTTATTTACTTTGGTCTTTGGTTTGATGGCTAAGGGCATACTAAACACGGGTCATCAAACAAACATTATCAAATGTTCGTGGAAACATCTAGATGTGTCGCTGGACGACTGGGCCACGGTGGTCATCCAACCGTGTCCCTCAAAATACCGCGGATGTCAGAGGTTTCATTTGTTTCTGGATTACTATTTACGCAACAAAAAATCCTAAAAAGGAGAAAAAAAGCCTAATCAACTTCTCGTCACCATCCGAGTTGAGGTCAATGACCCCGGGGTCGACGATTCGGCCTCATCGTCGTTGGGGGTCGGCGCGAACGAGAGGGAGCTACTGATGTTGCCTTGTTGGCATCATCGACATGTTACTTCGGTGCCTCGCCGTCCTAGGCCACCAGCTCCTCAAAAAATTGGGTGCATTGGCACAGAGCTACCAACGTTTGTAGTAGACCATGTGCGCTCTATACATGGACACGAGCACCGCTCAGTTCACGTCGACAATACCAGGGTCCACCTCATAGATGGCCTGACGATAACATTGCACGCATGCTCCGCCTCTAGATGAGCCTCCACCAATCAGTGTGGCTGTCATGTTATACTATTGCTCCGTCTGAAACAACCAGAAAACGAACACTAGCACGTCGTGGACAACAATCGCCTCCTCCTCCGCGACCTCCATCATGGCCATTGGGTCGCCCTCCTTCCCCTCCATCGAGTTTGTCCCCAGGGAGCTCGAAGATTGTGCTGCCTCAATTCGATCTTGGCGTCGGGCGTCCGTGCCATTAGTGGCGGAGCTTGGGCCACATTTCTGGAGGGGCAATGGGTTGAGGGGGAGGACGAAATTATGAAGTTTGGCCTTGTTTTCCTGTACTTATGGCCCAAATACCAAGTGGTAGTGAGGGATTTTTTTCATGGGCGGTGGCCCAGGTTGCACTCCATGAAGCTGTGTCACTGTGTGGCATGGACCTGCACCATCGACTGAAACATGAAATCACAGAGCTAACTACTGCGATGTCGGGCGATGAACGCGGATAAATGTGACGAGCGGAGCAACGAAGATGTGAATGTAGGCAACTGGAGTAGGCTTCTCAGTCCTCGCGGTGACATGAATGCGGTTAGGCGGCTGCACCCAATGTAAATATGCGGAGGGTTCTACAGTTAAACGACTGGAAATAGTTTTTGATTGGGTCCGAGCTGTCAAAGACCGACATGGCGATGTCCGAACTTTCAAGAGCTCCCCCAATTTGAGGCCAACTTGTGGGATTTGAGAGGCATTTTGATGCTTTGATTATGGTAGCATGTGAACTCTCTCTCTCTCTCTCTCTCTCTCTCTCACACACACACACACACACACACACACACGAGTCCTCGCTTCTGAGGGCATGGCCAATGCATAGCCTCAGGGTGATGCTTCGTATGCCATGTAGGATCGGATGCCAGAAAAGTAGGTTCGGATGAGGAAGCGGGATCCTCTGCAGGAGACGGGTGATTGAAGAGAAAAAATGTGGTCCGATATAAAAAGCTAAAAAAGTAAGAGTGAAAAGTAGAGATGCATGTGTAGTAGAATCTTTATTTTCTACTCCCTCCGTTTCTAAATATTTGTCTTTCTAGAGATTTCAACAAGTGACTATACGAAGCAAAATGAGTGAATCTACACTCTAAAATATGTCTATATACATCCATATGTGGTAGTCCATTTGAAATCTCTAAAAAGACAAATATTTAGGAACGGAGGAAGTATTTTTGATGAGGCTAAGTAGTAATAGCTTGCATTGGGGAGAAAAAGAACCTCAATCCCTCACTCCCCGCCCTCACGTTACACCGGCGGGAGAGGAGCGTGCTTCTCCGCTCGCTGAAATCTCGCGGCGGCGGCTGGTTGGCCTTCTGCTCTGGATCTGGTACAGCAAGGTGAACCGTGAGAACACAATCCCTTGTTAGTACTATTTGTCAGCCATGAATTGGATCTGAGCAGAGCACCGTTCCTACTTAGATAACTTTTGCAGAGGTCAGAGCCTCAGAGGGAGGCCGGTGGTAGGTAGGCTTCTGCTTCTCCTCCGGCCTCGGCGGTCCGAGCAGATTCTCTTGACCGGTGTGCTGCTCTGATGCCGTCTTCCCCGTGTCAACTAACACTGCACAGGTCATTTTTATCCATCCAAACCCTAACTAATAGCTGCACTTTAGAGTAAGATATTCGATTAGCCTTGCGTGCTTCCATCCAATTCTTCATGACCCGTGATGTTTCTCTATACATCTAACCCTGCACATTGTTAATTGATCCATGATTAATCAGATACACATTGAGTTAATTAATTCTTGATTTCCTTGCTTTGTGATTTTCGTATTTGGAGTGAGTGTATACATGCGCCTGCAGAGCTCTTGAAACAAGCAAGTCAGAACAGATTGATTATTAAAATGCATGAAAATCTGCAAGAACACCAAATGGCTCGAACTCTGCTAGGTATGAAGATAGGTTGCTTGCAAGGATCCTTTACAAAGAGCTTTTGTTTTAACCAAATTCTTGGTCTAATCCAGCATATGTATACACTGTTTGTTCAGTTTTGCTTGTAGTACTGAATCAAACTTGAAAACAAATTGGCGATATCCATCATTTAATTCTTTCTATTTCTGTATATACTACTAATCTTTTATGATTACCTTGTTCCAAAAGCTGAACTTGAAATAGATTAAAATGGTTCGCTTATGTAGCAACTGCTTTGTCCCCAGTAAAACATAGTTTCAGATGATTGAATTATGTTACAGTATCTTGGTCTCCATGATTAAAAAACTGCTTCCTTGCCTATCCTGACATTATCAGTTTTTCCTTTCAGTAAACTACCATAAAGAGATGGACCCTGGGAATGGTTTTCTTGCTGCTAAGCTAACTGATGATCTGGTGGTGGAGATCCTCTCCTGGCTGCCTTTCAAGTCTTTTTGCCGCTTCAAATGTGTTTGCAAGGCCTGGCTTGCCTTATCCTCTGATCCGCAATACTGCAAGAAGCTTCCGAAAATTCCAACAGGTCTTCTCTACCAACGACGTTATCACTCTGCTATTAAGCTCGCTAGCCTGCCCCACAATGATAAGGATTTTGATGAAGCTCTTAGTTTCCTACCACAGTATGAGCAATTAGAGCTGATGGACTCTTGCAATGGCCTAGTCCTTTGTAAGTACAAGAACAGCTATACTCCTCAAGGTATTTGCCGCTTTATCGTGTGCAATCCGGCAACACGAGAGTGGAAGATACTCCCTGACACTCCTCTTAGCCATTATGACCCTTTTTACAATATGAGTATTCTGGCCTTCAGCACATCATGGTCGGCAAACTTCTACGTCTTCAACTTTCAGCGGCTGAGTACCCTCCGTTTGGGATTTGGCCCTGTCAAACTTCAGGTGTTCTCGTTTGATCTTTCCTCTTGGTTTCTGGATGATGCATCATGGCTCTCTGAGACAATGGTTTCTCAACCACACCTGTTTATTGATGGAGCACTGTATGTGCGGACAGATTTGCATGAGATTATGGTACTGAAGAGCTTGGAGGAAACTAGTTCTGGCATTCTACCCTCTCTTCGGACTATTGAGTTGCCGCATGAAGATGTTGGTTTTATTGCTAGGTTTGGCCAATGTTGCTTCGGCCAATCTTCGGGGGCCTTGCATTACGCATTGCCAGAGGAGGATGCTCGTACAATTCTTGTTTGGAGTCTTGATGTTGATGAGCCTTATGAGTGGAGCCTCAAGTACCGCCTCAGTATGAGCCATGCATTCGGAAGGGACAACCTTTGTCAGTATGACTCACATTCCTGGAAATGTGACTATGAGGTCATCGCTCTTGACCTGGAGAACGATGGTCTTGTCCTATTTGATGAACGGGCAGATAAGCTTCGTTTGTACAATATAAGAACCGGTGAACTTAACGTGATTCAACCAGATAACCACCGCTGCTGCAGTTTGGAAGACGAATACTACCATTATGTGGCATCCTACTCAAAGCTCCCTGCTTTAACCATGTAGTCGGTACCGTCTTTGTTTGGCTTTTGAGTGTCGCACCTCTTTATGCTGTCAAACAATGCAGAGGCAGTTCTTCTCTCTGTCAAGTGCTATTTATGGATTGTAATCTAGGACCATTTTTTTGTTTTCTTGAACCTATTCATGTCCAGTAGTACCAATATTAATGAGGTTAGCTCTATTCTGTCACTGATTGTAGCAGCAGCTGCATGTAAGCTGGGAGCTATGTATTCTGCCCTAGCCATCTCTCTGAAAATATAATTCCTGAAATTGCTGAGGGAAGATGCTGAATTTCTTTGAAATACTGGAGGCCCGTGTGCTCCGTTTATCATTTGGTATCTTGGGAGGTAAGATTCATAAACTGACACTAATCCATTTATATTTTGAGAAGATACCAAATGATAACACATACCGTATATTATTGCCATAAATTCTCACCATGCATATAGAGTATAATTTGAAAGTGAAAGGAGAAACTTTGTGCTTGTGGAAACTGGTACATGTCAAACGACTCGACATACATAGACGGTTGAAATATTACAATGTGAACAGGTTTGATTTTCTAGTTAACTAACCAAGATTTATGAATCGAAATCCCAATATTTTTTTCCCTTTGTTGGGTACCACTAGATTATCCCTATCTTTTGGAACTCCTCACTTTTGCCCCTTCGCCGTCAAGTGGCCCTACGAAAATGCCCTCACAGCATGTTTCCGTTCGGTCAACCCCCTTTGATCATCACTGACACATTTGTTGGACACACTATGTCGTGGTTTTGTCACGGCAGATGTCCTCGTGAAAGGACTTAGTCGTGGTGCCATCGCTACGGGTTAGCTTAAAGGGGTTAAAGCGGACAAGGGATGCAAGAGTTTATACTGGTTCGGCCCCTTACGGTGAAAGTGAAAGCCTAATCCAGTTGTGATGGAATTGCTAGGGTTTCGATGACCAGGGAGCGAATCCGCTTTGCCTGGCTTTCGAGTGGTTGTCCGTTGTCCCTAAACCGCCGCCGGGTCGTCCCTTTATATACACAGGTTGACGCCCGACGGTTTACAAAATCCCGAGGCCGGTTCATAAATGTGCCCGGCTCGGTTTCTACCTTTCCTTGCTTTACAACATAAGATACATATCATATGGCGGTTTACATCTACGGGCCCTAATCGCCTTTGGGCCCTGGGCTAGATCTCCTCCGTAAAGTGCCATCCCTTTTATCTTCATGGACTTCAAACATGATTAACTCCTTGTGAACATAACCCGGCCCCTCATGGCCGGTTTATACTTAATAGTAATATCTCCAATATTAGGCCCCAGATTGATTTGAACTTGTTCATGCCAATCTTCAACACTTAGAAAAATTCCTCCTTTTGCACCTTCGCATAGATCTTGTAAACCGCTGTGACGTCATCCTCCAGATTTGTAGTAAACCGCCATGATGTCACCTGTTCATTAAAGCCGAAGATACCCTTTATTAATGAGCATCCAACAATCGAGGCGACAACCTTGTTATATATCCATTTTTTTGGCTCCTCGATTCCCGTGCCTGTTGCTTATCTCTTTGCCTTATAAATAGGGCTGAGGATCCCTTTCTTTTTCCTCCTGTTGCTTCTTTGTCTCTTCTTCCACCTCGCGACGCCTCTGCACCCAAGCGCCCCTGCCGTCGTCGAGCTTCGCCTCTGCCTCGCCGTCGGCCGCTGCATCAACCTGATCGCACCAGAAAAATGCGGCGCACCTCCGTTGCTTTAACAACTTCGGTAAGTCTTTTCTTCTTTCCTCTATAGATCCACTTAGGGTTCACACAGGTTCATGGTGTTCTTCTCTTGTTCTTCGTCAGTTCATACATAGCAGACCTCAACTTTGATGCGTTCCGTGCGGTAGCTATAGCAGTCTTTTATCTTGGCTATCAAACCATGCCTTCTATGTATAAAACCGATCTGGACTTTTGCGAACTGCTCCAGAACCAACTTTTTAGGTCTAAATCTTTTTCTTTTCTTGACCTATGGTAGATCCAAAATGCTAATGTGAACTTGTGGAACCTGTTTTTCCTCACTTAGTTGTTTTTTTGCCTCAGATCTGTACCTTCCTCATCTGCGTAGGCGGTTTATCCTTTTAGAAAATAATCCGTCATATGCCATTAGTCCCCTTGTAAACCGCCCGTCGCTTTACCATTTATAACAGCATCAGCCTCCGGTTTAACAATTTTGCATGCTTGAATGCCTTTTTCTTAACCTGTTCTGCTTTATGCTTTGTCAATCATGAATCGTAAACCGGCATTAATCTTTTCCAGCTCTTCGCTTGCAATGGCCAAACAATTTTATGCCTGTAACTGGGTCCCTTCCCGGGTTACTGAAGAGCAACTGGATGGATGCGTCAGAACTGGCGCTTTACCGAAGCGAAGTGAAATCCAGTGGCGAGTTCCCGGTCCAGAAAACCCTCCTACCCCCAGAGATGGCGAAGTAATAGTGTTTGTTGATCACATGAGTCGTGGCTTTAAACCGCCCAGGTCCAAGTTTTTCTGTGATGTGCTTGCTAATTTCCAGATCCATCCTCAAGACATTGGACCAAACTCTGTGTCCAATGTTTACGACTTTCAAGTATTTTGTGAAGCATACCTGCAAGAGGAGCCAACTGTTGAGCTATTCCGGGACTTTTTCTTTTTGAACCACCGTACTGAGTTTGTAGACGGGCCCAATATCGAACTCCCCTGATGATGAGAGTCCTCTGCCGGGTTACCATCCTCACCGGCTTACCAACACACATCCATTTCCGCAACGGTTGACTACCAAAGAACGGGCTACATATGCTCCACAATTCTCCAAGCTCAAAGCCTTTATGGCCAATGGTCTAACATGAGTTGATTTTGTTCGCTGCTGGATTTCATGGAGTATATTGCCTTTAAGCCGTCGCCCCGGTTTAATGTGCGAGTATACTGGTGACTCAAAAGACCCTCAACGTCATATTGATATTGAGCTGACAGAAGCTAAAGTTACTGAATCTGTGAAGAAGATACTGAATGAATCGGAGGCTGTCTGTTGCAAGACCGGGTTAAGCCCCTACTACACTTTGAATAAACCGCCAGCTGTAAGCATTGCCCCACTCCTGCTTGTACTTAATCTGTGTAATCTCCTATAACTTTTGTCAATTCTTCTAATAGGACGATGACCCATTTTGGAAGAAGAAACCTCAAGAAAAAACCGTGAAAACCCCTCGACCTAAGACGAAGGCGGTCAAGAGGCCTGCCAAGAAGAAGGCGGTTGAATCCACCGGGCTGAACCTCGCCGAAGACCTCGATAATCCGTACTCAGAGGTAGAACTTGACTCTCTTGGTTCGCTTTTCATACACCTCATTGACAATGATTATTATCAGGATGACGCTGAAGGCAGCCATGCTGATGACGCAGAGGTAATTACTCTTCCCTCCGGTTCAGACACTCCGTCAACACAGAAAATCCGTCAAACAATCCGGAAAATAAAATTTTGTCACCCCCTTTCTCACTTGGACCCAAAATTTCTTTTAAAGAAGCAGCAGTACGAAGCTCACTGCACAACCCGGCACAGCGGCCAAGTAGTCACTTCGGCCGGTTTACCGAACACTCTGGTTCGGAAACGTCGACCTGAGGTCTCACCCACTTCTGATACTTCTTATCCCAAGGCAGGTTATTTCCGACAACCTCTTAATCCGTTCGATTCAAATTATCAGGGAACGCCTCATTCATCATCTGGCGAGTCGACGACCACACAACTCCCTCCTCTTAAGATAGTTGCTGGGTAAGTATTTTAACTGAATCTTTTGACGCTTTATACTTGCATGCTATATTAACCCTTGCATATTTTTCCTTTCAGAGCCAAGGCTAGACCCAGCAAGAAGGCTCGGGCGAATAAACCGTCTGACGACCATGTGGTAGTGAATCCCATAGCTCGCGGTGCCTTTCAAATAGCGCATAACTCTCTCAAGCGCATGCCAATGATCATCTCCCGGTTTTGACACAAACCGACTCAGCTTGTTCACAACAAAAGAGATATCAGGCCTCGTGGCACTCGCCAAATACATAAGCGAGCCAATAATCTAAGAATACCTCAGTTGATCTCTAGCAATCCGTCGATTCTTCCGAAGCAACACACTAGCATCATATGGAGTTGGAGAAGGCGTGCAGTCGCTATACCCAAAACGACTCAAGACCTTTTCCACATAATGAGACTGAAGCAGTGTGATCCCACCATTCTCATCTCTCAACAGCTTGATGTTTAAGATAACATCAGCTACTCCTAGATCCTTCATCTCAAAATAGCGAGATAAGAAATCCTTAACCTCCTTGATTAAATCAAGTTTGGTTCCAAAGATCAATATGGCGTTGACATACAGACAAAGAATAACTCCTTCGCCCCCACCATAGCGATAGTACACGCACTTGTCACCATCGTTTACTACAAAGCCGGCAGCAGTTAATGTTCTTTCGAACTTCTCATGCCACTCCTTAGGAGCTTGTTTAAGGCCATATAAAGACTTTAATAACTTGCACACCTTTCCTTCCTGACCAGGTACTACAAAACCATCTGGCTGATCCATGTAAATTTCCTCCTTCAACTCTCCATTGAGGAAAGCCGTCTTAACGTCCATTTGATGAACGAGAAGACCATGTGAGGCAGCCAGTGATAGTAGCACCCGAATTGTGGTCAGTCTAGCCACGAGTGAGTAAGTATCAAAGAAGTCTTCACCTTCTTTCTGGGTATAACCCTTGGCCACAAGTCGTGCCTTGTACTTTTCAATCGTACCATCAGGTCTAAGCTTCTTCTTGAACACCCACTTACATCCTACAGGTTTGCACCCATGAGGATGGTCAGTGATCTCCCAGGTACCGTTAGCTAAGATGGAATCCATCTCGCTACGTACAACTTCCTTCCAGTAGTCAGCATCAGGAGATGCATAGGCTTCTGAAATAGTCCTGGGTGTGTCATCCATGAGGTACACAACGAAATCATCACCAAAAGACTTTGCAGTCCTCTGTCTCTTACT